ACATCAGCCATTGCTCTAAGGTTCTCTGAAGATAATAATGTAAATTTTGCATAATTTCCAGTAATATACATTTTCTGATGTTGTATTTTAGGCTACAATTTGGAAGACCACAATATTGAAGATCATTGTGAAAGTTCTAGAAGACATGGACGGTAATTTTAATGTATAAGCCAATACATTTGTGCCTCTAGGGATAGTTTAATGTACCCTGAAGTGTTAATGAAAAAAAATAGTGAAAACAAGCACAGCTTTGTGGGGATTATTAAATTCTCACAACACCTTATGCCTCAATGTCAGGTAGCTGACTAGTGTTTGCAGAGTATTAAGAGACAAAGAAAGGAAACAAGGCCTTAGCGGATATCATAATTTTAATCATATCCACATGAGAACTATGTTTTGTAACTCTCCATTCACTTAGTTTTACACCACTCAAGTATACAAAATGCATATACATTGATTAGGGTTTTAGTGTATCTCCAAGACCTGTTATAAGCAAATCATCCATGGTTTTGTCAGAGGGCAGTTTATGATTGTCAAGAAGGTTGTTGTGGTCGAGAAACTTGAATCTCTATACCACATGTCTAAAGATCAAAAAGTTAAACCGTGAATGCATTCTATACAACTTTTCTTTGTTATTCTTCCTTAATAGGTATATCAAGAATCCTTCTAGGTATAAGCCACATGATCCTAAGGGATTTGGAAAGAAGCAGTGTACCTCTATCTTTCCAGGAGCATTTAGAAGATATTTAGTCAACCCAACTATGAGAAGATGGGGTGAATGTGATACAAGTTTACAAGTAATTGGTTTTACAGCTTCAGTGGGAATACATCAAAATGCTGTCATTGGAGAAAAGCCCTATGAATATGAGGAATGTGGAAAATTTTCTATCTGTCCTGGTTCACTTTGCACATATATTATGAATCACAGTACAGAAAAATATGATGAATGCAATCAGTATGGGAAAGCTCTGAATTCTTCCAATTCTCTTCAGAGATACGAAAAATATCATATGGGAAAAGGAACTGTTAAATGTAAGCCTAATTGTAAAATATTTACCCATCACAGGCATCTTCAAATATACAAGAAAACCTGTAATGAGAAGTATCTCTATGAATGTAAAGAATGTGATAAAGCCTCTTTAGAATTAGAACAAAGAATTCATTTGGAAATAAAATCAAATGAATATAATCAAGAAGATAAAGTCTTTGCATGTCACAGTCAGCAAGTAGGTAGTACTAATACTAGGGAGAAAAAGTATAAATGTCATCAGTGTGGTAAATCTTTTGCATATCCCAGTCATCTTCAAACACATGAAAGAACTCACACTGGAGAGAAACTCTATGAATGTAATCAGTGTGGTAAAGCCTTCACATGTTTCTGTACTCTTCAAATACATAAAAAAATTCATACTGGAAGGAAGCTGTATAAATGTAATCAATGTGGTAAAGCCTGTGCAAGTAACAGTGCTCTTCAAATACATGAAAGTATTCATACTGGAGGGACACCCTATGAATGTACTCAATGTGGTAAATTTTTTACTCGTAATAGTACTCTCCAAATACATGAAAGAATTCATACTGAAGAGAAACCATATAAATGTAACCAATGTGGTAAGGCCTTTGCAGATAACAGTGATCTTCACAGGCATGAACGACATCATACTGGAGAGAAACCCTATGAATGTTGTCAATGCAGTAAAGCCTTTGCATGTAAGAGGTATCTTAAAATACATGAAGGAACTCATACTGGAGAGAAACCATATGAATGTACTGAATGTAGTAAAGCCTTTGCAAGTAGCAGTCAGCTTAAGAAGCACGAAAGAATTCATACTGGAGAGAAACCCTATCAATGTAATCAATGTAAAAAAGCCTTTGCAAGTAAGACTCATCTTAAGATGCATGAAAAAATTCA